GCTGATGTGGTAGTAGGGGAAGATCCCATTCTTGGGTTGGTTAAACTTTCTGGGAATTGAGGTCTAAGCTTCCCACATCTAAAGTGTGAATTTCATCTCCAAGAGGAGCAAGGTTCTAAGGGAATAAGGATAAGTATAGGTTTGATATTCTTCTATGTCAATTAGAAAATTTATACTACTTTAAAAAGCACGAATAGCCTCAAGAATATTTCTAGAATTTTCTAAGGACAAAATTTACCCCTTTATATTTAAATTTATTGATAAAAAATGAGGGAAAATAGGATAATTGGTTATTGATATTAATTGAATTGAAAAGAGGTAATTTTAAGATATTCAATTCATTTAGTTCCCTTTCATTAAATCAAACATTTAAGGTATTAACTTGCATTTACCTTCATTGAATCATATATTTAAGGCATCTTTGTTTCTTCTCATAATTAAATTCATATATAATAAATTAATAATTTCAATAACATAAAAACTTATACTTTTAAAATCTACTTCAAAAAATAGTGTTTTCATCTAGGTGGTGGTAAGAAATTAAACCATTTTGGGTCAAATGGGCCAATCCATGTTGCTACAATTAAATAATAAAATTCAAAATTTGATAAGTATAAAAAAATTGGTGACATTTTTAACATCATATATTTGACATATTAAACAATAATAAGTATGATAAATAAAAATGTTTTTATTAATTATGGAAATGGAATGTAAAATTTAAAACCAATTGGAAATAATGCCATTTTTCTATTCTATATCATTAAATCCTATATTGAAGGTATATTTTTTCTCATTATTACATTCTACTAATTAAATCTACAACATTAATTTTAATAGTATAAAAATAAATATTTTAGTAATATGAAAACAAAACCATTTTCTTCCCTATTGGTGGTGAGTAAGAAATTAAACCATTTAGGGTCAAATAGGTTAATAAATAATACCATAATTAAATAAATAAGAATATAATACAAAATAATAAAAACAATCTGACATATATCTAATATTGTATATTCATTATACTAAACAAAAATAAGTATGAAATATAAGAAATAGTTTTTTAATGATGAAAATGGAATGCCAAATTTAAAATTAAGGGCATGTTCGTTTCCTCTTAACTCTTATCTCTTAAAAGAAATCTTTTAATTTTAAGAGAAAATTGGTTGTTTGTTTCCTCTTATCTCTTATCTCTCAAAGTGCAATCATACAACTTTTTGTTTTCCAATGATACCCCAAAAAGACAAACAAAAACTCTCATATATGGGGTCAAAATGGATATTTGATAGTTTACAGAATTCAGAATTAAGAACAACATTCTCTAAATTTAGAGTTCAAGGGAAAGAAAAGTTCACCAATACCAATATACCTCTTAATGTAATTATTACACTTTCAGATGTCAGATTTCAGAGAAAATGAACAAGCCCTAACTTAGAAATGAAATGATTCCATAGTCAAATAATAAATTTTTTAAAAATAAAAAATATGAAAAACCACAAAAATTAAAAAAGAGAGAAAATTTGGGCACATATCTAATGTCATCTGTTTATTAAATAATAAAATATTAGATACATCTATAATATTATAAATTCATTATATTGAACAAAAACAAGAATTATACATAAGAAATAATTTTATCATTGATGGAAGTGTAATACAAAATTTGATGTCAACCTAGAAATCAAACTATTTTTCTTTTTGGGTGGTGGGTTAGTGGTTTTGGTCAAATGGATTAATTGATGATATGATAGTTAAACAATAAATCTTAAAAAAAAGTACGAGTAATCGAAAGATTATATAAAAAATATATATTAATTATGTCAAACAGAAATTAGGTGTAATAAGTAAAAAATATTTATAAAATATAGATTAATTATATAATTTAAAACTGATCCGAAAGCAAAGCTATTTTCTTATCTAGATGGTGGGTCAATGATCTGACTTTTCAATGAAACTCATGATGTCATAAATGGATAATAAATATTAAAAAAAAGATAGAACATAAAAAATGAAAAAATACAAAATTTTGTCAAAAACATTTGGGAACATTTTTAATGTTATACATTCATCATATTAAATAAAAATAATTGTTAAAGTAAAAATTATTTTTATTTATGATAGAAATGGAATACAAAATTTAATAGTAATAATAATAATAATAATAACAATAATAATAATAATAAAAATAATTGTTAATTTAATTTAAAATTTCCATATACAATGTGCATGCACATTTACTACAAGCATTTAAGTTTATTTTTAATCAAATTATTACCTTTATTAATTTCCAATTTCTATCTTAACTATGACATATCTAAAATTCAATTAATTTATATGAAGAAAATTTTCTTCTATGCTACGCATGTGCTTAATTACTAGTTGGAATATAAAAGTAAAACAAAGAAATATGTTTTATAGGTTTTTACGCATGATTTTCTAATATTTCCCAAGTGTGTTATGGCATCCCAATTGCCGAACTTCAGACAACCTATTAAAATATGTTTTCTTTGTATTTTTTTGGGTGCATGTGAATCTCCCACCCTACAGCCCGGCCTTTGTATTTATAGCTACTTATAGTCATTTAAGCCTTTATTTATTATTATTAATGCATATATTGGATTTACATGAATTTCCCTAGTATATTGATTAATATCCCAGACTCCCAGTTATTTCCACTCGTTTCTTGAGATTATGTTTGGTTTGATAGGAAACAAGAAAGAAATGGAAAGCTTAAGGAAAAATTCTTAACAAAATTTATGAAATTCCTTGAGAAATTTCCCTCAGCTTTCTATTTTTCTCTTATTTTCTATCAAACCAAATACAGCCTTAGGTTATCCAAATATGTATCTTAAAGTTGTCTTTCCAGTACTCTTTGTGTTTGGTACCATTTGTGTTTCAACCTGCAATGTTTTAAATTGAAACACTGTTTATACTTGAAAGTTGAAACACAAATACTACTTGTACTGCATTCTGTTTGGTGAGAAATGTGTGTTGTCACCACCACACCATTCTAGGTGTTGAGACTTTGCTTCCAAAAACAGGAAATATATCAATTAAAATCAAATTGATGCTTCATAAACACCTCCTAGCATGGATTCCCATTCAAAGTGTTTTATAACCATTTTTAGCACAAAGCATCTCCAGCCAAACAAAAAATTGGCCATTGAACTCAAAAAGCCTATATGGCATTGATGTGATGGTATTTATATTTGAAACAGCGTACCAAACAGCTTCACCCCCTTTACCATACCAAGTTCTTGATTTTGGATTTTTTGACCACAACACATTATTGGCCACATTCACCCAGCCACATATGGGAATATTGGTTGTACTTAGACCTGTTCACGGGCCAGTCAGGCTTTGCGTCTTTATCAATAGAAAATGTCTAGGCCCGAACCTCAGCCTGGGCTTGGCCTGACCATCAGGCTTATATCTTAAGCCTGAGAACGATCCTTATTTAAAGTTTGAAGCCTGGTTTGCACATAAAATGTCTTATTTATAATATAATTTAATAAACTAATATATATATTAATTTGGTATTAATTTAATAAATTAATAAGCTAATTCATATTTCCTGAATAATAAATTAATATTTGAATATAATTTAATAAGTTAATATATATTATATAATTAATGTATGTTTTTATTATATGTGATATTATTGGACTGGGATTGGGTTCAGGCTGGGCTTATTTAAGAAAGTCCAGGCCCCAGGCCTGGTGTTTAAAGCCCGAGTTCAAACCCATGGGCCTAAAGTTTTGTCCAAGTCCAAAAAATAATGGGCCAAGCCGGGCTAACCTATTGAGTTACCTGGTCCATGAAGCATGAACAGGTCTCATTGTAGTTTACATCAGACTCCAGGCTCTTTTCTTAAGAAGAATACTCGTATTGCTGTACAGCCCTATACTGAGTCCTAAAAGAAAGGTGAACTGTTTTAATTTGTTAATCCCACAAAACACGGAAACTGTCATTTTTAATAAGCCTTTTGGGCCCCGCAAAGTGTTATAGCGTGTTCCCTGCTAGCTATTCCTCATATTTGAGTATAACTGTGCAAAACTTGAACACATAAATTTTAGATATGTGAATCTTAAGCATTGATATATTTGTATTTGAAAGACCCCAATGTTTAGATAAGCTTTAAGATTTGTGCTTTTGAAGCATTAAAGCACAAAACCCAAGTTTTAGACTTTATGCTTTGGGGGCAAAAGTGCTTTGACTTTAGATTGTTTTGCTTTTAAAAGCCACTCTTACCAAAATCCTTATTGGCTCCTACTTGTTTACCACAGCCTAAAGCTCAGAAGTAAGTTCATCCAAACGGAACAATTGACGTGGGTTTCCCCAGGTCTCAATCCAATCCCACCCCACTTAAAATCAGGAAGATGCTTTACAATCATAATCAAACCCAACTTCAAGTAAGAGCCAACGTAACTTGGTCAAAGTTCAGATTTGGCTAGTTGGATTGTGGCTTAAGGCAGCCCTATTTTTTTTCTTTGATTTTTTATTATTTTTTTTCTAAGGACGTGAATTAGAATGAGCACCAGTTAATTTGGTTGTTAGTTTTTTAAGCACCGTACCATTTTCTGTACCATAGCCTCTGCACGTGGCATGGTCATATAGTCTGTGTCCTATGAAGATTCTCTAGGGCTGTCTTTGAATAAGGGTGGATTTAAAATTGCCAATTCCCTGAATTTCTGGATCTCAATTCTGGGTTCATCTCCAAGATAGAGAAGATTCAACAGAGCACAGTTCGCTTTATTTGGGAAATGGGGTGGGATAGTCATTTCAATCCCGATTCCAGGGGAATTGAAGAGGGAATGGAATTCGGATCCAAATCCTCCTGTGGCACAAAAACAGCTGTAGTGTAACGTTGGAGGTCTATACTTGCAGTTCAAATACATTGTTTGGCTGTGTTGAATTATAGATTAATTCCATCAAATAGGCAAATGATCATGGGCAATCAAAACACTGACATTCAACAGACTCAATTTTCAATTATCAAATTCAATCAAAATACCAGAAACCTGCTTAAGTTTTGTCATAATAACATTGGTCTGAACATAACCTGTCCTATCATCCAAGGAATTCCTTATCTGGAAATTCTTTCATTTCATGAAAAAAAATAAACTGAATATACATCAGGAGAGTGACAAGGCATCCAATTTCTCTAATTTTAAACAATCAGAACCTATAATCTTATCAGGATTGCACCACCATTACCAAGCAAAGGTAGATCCAAATGATCCAGAAATCTTATAACAACAAAGATGCTAAGGTTCGTTATCAACAAAACAGGGAAAGGATTTTATCCTTTTAGTTTACGCGCCTTAGAGCTTCTGAACTATTGAACTTGCAAATTGTTGGAAATCTTAACCAAGATTCCAAATCATAGTGCGTAAGTGCTGTCTGATCTGTCTCCTCTAGTTGTACCAGAGCTTGATGGTTCACCCACTGCATCAGGTGAAGCTGTTGTTTGGGATGGTGCCTTCTTCAAAGAAGTTGGCATACCTGAAATTTCCTGTAACACAGATCCTATGACCTCGTCAGAAAAACAAGCAGGAGAGAGAGAGAGAGAGAGAGAGAGAGAGTCTGATCAAGAAATCGAAATAAAGAAAAAAGGTCTACAAAAGATGCTTGGGCTTCTCTACTCTAAGCACTCCAACCTTTTTTATTAGAAAAATTGTAGAAGGGGGAAACCTCTTGAGTAAAACAACCAAAAGAATAGTTGACTAGTAATCTAAAAAGATACCTAATTCACAGATGGGATTTAAAAAAAAGGGAATATAACTGGTCCATTTACTCCCTGTTACTTTCTTTCGTTCGTGATGAACATTTATCCCTCTTTGACTTGGTACATGTGATTCAGCATCTTGTGGCATCTATTTTTGATAATAAACTCATAAAAGAACTCTTCGATAATAATCTCAAGTCCTGATTAATGTGTGAACAGTGTTCTAAAAACTGATCTGGAAACAAAACTGCTTTTCCATCTGGGTCAAAATGGTTCAACATGACAACATGTGACATAATAAATTAAATAATAAAAATAAGTAAAAAATATAGAACATAAAATTGCAGAAATTGGGCATGCGTCTAAATTATATATTTATCATATTAAATAAAAACAAGAGTGGTAAAAGAGAGTTATTGTTATTAATGATGGAAATGGCTAAAAGCACAAAACAAACAGAAAAAAGGAATATATGTCTACCTGTGACCTGTTGATTGGTCAAATGGTTCAGCAGTTCAACCAGCCAGGTCACAGGTCATTGACCAAGTCAATGTTTTTTTTTTGTGTGTGAACAGTTTGGGGGTGAAACAGACCCAGAAACATGGCTGGGTGATGGGTCAACCGGTTCAACAATCTGGTTTGACTGCAGCTTAAAAACACTGCAAGCCTGTGCCGGGGGGGGGACAATGAAGAAGGTTGGAGTAGCTCAGTACAAGATTGAAACACTAAACCGAGGATATATTGATGAAGGCTGAAATAGTTCAGAGAGATCACAGGGCAATGGCACAGGAAGAGCAAGTGATATACTTAAAAGAGAATTTGACAGACAAGAGAGAAAATTAATGGGAGGATGGTAGAACCTTGACAGCAAAGCAGCCTGTGTCAAGGGGGCCTAGCTCACTAGCTCACCAATATCATAGCAAATATTCCACTCAACTTTATAAACTCTTACAAAAAGGAGGCAATGCCAAATTTTATCAAGCTCTTTAGCAACAAGAAAACAGAAAAGATATCTAGACTGCACTAGGGTATTAGTATGGATATGGATTTATTACTGCAGAATCAGAGATAAGTACTATAGGTTATCCTGTTCCTTTCTTATTTACCTTTATATGTTACCTGGTAAATTTTAATCCATTTGAACAAACTCTACTGTCTTATGAAGTAAACATTCTGAGGGAGCACTTTAGTTAACAGCTTTTCTTTCTCTCTCTTTGGTTCTTGAAAAGTACTCTACCTTATTGTTCTCAAATATTGAAATTTGAATAATGTACCAGATGATTACAATTTCTGAGGCATCTGTTTGTACCAAAGATGAAAATTATTTGTGAGCTATTTGATAGGTCCAATGTCCAATCCTTGGTACAGTTTCCCTTTCAAAAATTCTGGCCTATGTTACTTAGATACTTCAGAGAACATGTTTCTGATACTTGAACTTTTAAGTATGAAAAACTGCAAGACTAATTCCATAACTTCTATACTTGAACATAAATTGTGGCTATAAAGAATGCTTTTCAGATAACTAGCCAATCTTGCATGTGGCAATTTTAGATGATGATGATGATATATGCCTAAAATTTTCTACATTTTTTATATTTCTATGTGTATAAAAGTAATTCTTATTTATCATGCTTGCTTATCCTTGTTTGAATATATAATATCAGAGAAAAGCCCAAATGTTTTCTACAAAATTTCTGTATTTTATGTAATTATTTTTTGTATTTTTATCTTTTTTTTTTAATTTTTATTATTTAATCATGACATCAAATGTTGACATATTTGACCTGAAAGGTTGACCTGTTGACCCACCATAAAAAAGGAAAATAATTTCATTCTTGCGTTGTAAATTTTTTATTCCTTTTTGATCAATAAAAACAATTCTTGTTTATCACACAATTTTGTTATTTAACTATGACATCATGAATTTACCCATTTCTCAACCCCATGTAATTAGGATAAGACATGGATGTGTGTGTGAATCATGGGTTGACCCATTTCACCTAGATAGTTGAATTGCTTACATGCCACTTGGATGGAAGAACAGTTTCATTTTTGGATAAAATGACCAAAGATCTTGATGTTTTGGATAAAATAACTTTTGACATATGAAATCTTTTAGACCAAAAACCTACAGAATAAGTATTCTTGAAATTCCCTTGGTTTAGGATAAAAAATAACATCTACTGTATGAGATAGAATCCTCTAATTGAATGACTAGAAATCATGTTCTAAATTATTAAATACCCTACGCTACCTCCAATGTGATGAAATCAATCCCGTTTGCAATGACAGCAGTTATATTGCATAGAAGAATAAAAACAAGAAAAAAAGCAAAGCCAAATATAAAAGGTCAGGAAAAGGAAAATTTTGTCCAACACTCCCTCACTATAAACATTAATGATTAAATCAGTGTATCTCCTGCTTACATCTATTGAGTAGGAAAGGCAGTAGTACCATATATAGACAGTAATTAACAAACAAATGAAGAAGACCCATGAAACCAGGAAAAGTTGGATAAACCAACAAATAATCCCAATAAGCAGTATCTAGGAGATGGGGAAAAAAGTAAATCTTGCCCAACAACAAAAAGAAGGATCAATTGAACACATGGATTAAATTTACCTTCATTAGATGCAACCTTAAATCACTGGGCTGAACTCCCTCCCCAATACAGACCATAACAAATTTTGAATATTGAAACAAAACATCTGCAGCTGCTTGCTTTTTCTCTTCAATCTGTCAGTTTTTTAGCCAGAAAAACCCAAGTAGATTACTAAAACCATATAATTTAAACAGCCACTAAATTACAAAAAGGTAGATTAATAATAATTAACAAGATAGTCTGAACACAAAAATAAATTTTCTTATTGTATGTGAAAAGGGCCCAGTTTTTTAATGGTTACATACAGAATGAGTACACCATTACAACAACCAATGACCTCAGTTAGTAGCAACAAATGTGGCATAAACTGAACACAAAAAGAGGACAATGGGATGACTGGGGCTTGATGAACAACTAACAAAGGTCTACTCTTTATCTAACTGTTTCACCATACCTTTTTTGCACTTTTAATACTCGTTCTCACTTTTATTTTCCTTTTACTATAAATAGAAAAGTAAATATTGGGAAATTATAATAATGTGAACAGGTTGGTATTTGTGCAAGAATTTGTATAGGTAAGGTCCACATTACACGGCCAAGGGGTTTGAAGGGTTTGTCACAAATAAAGAAAAAAGAGGTAAAGGGTGTGATGTGGGACAAAGGCTGAGAAAAAGGAAGTCAAATTCATACCTTTCTCTAGGTATATGGCCCTTCACGTAGCTTTTCTTTCCCTCCCCTTTCTTTTCCTTCCTTTTTTCCCTTTTTCTTTCTTTTTTCTTTTTTTTTCTTGTCTTTTTATATGAGGTGTATGTGCATGAGGTGTACGTCTCTAGCACGCTTCATAAAAAAGGCATATGAGGCGTACGCCTCAGAGGTGTCAATACCTTTGGCATATGCCTCGGGGCGTTTTGGGGGTGCCTCCAGGCATACACCTTCCACGCCTTTTAAGACACTGGTCTGGAATATAACACCATCTGTGGTTTTTTGGTGTATATGGCAGGAGAGAAACACAAGAATTTTCAAAAATAAGAGTAGTTCTACTGATTCTGTTCATCAGAAAATCTTGGGAAAAATGTCTTCTTAGTTCACTTGTCATAAACTATTTAAGAATTTAAGGTTATAATTCCTTTTTTTGTACATGACATTTTTTTTTTGTAAAGCGGGGCGAGGGTATAGAACTGAGAGGGCAGATTTTGTATAGTCCCCACGTACATCAACTTGTTGTACACGATGCTTTGTTTATATTAATATAATCATACTTCAACCACATGTCGGTTCTTCCTTTCCGCCACTCTATTCTATTGTGGAGTGTAGGAACAAAAATTTTGATGAATAACCCCAAAAGTTTCAAGATAGGCGGAGAGGGTTTTCTCTAAATACTCCCTATCATTATCAGAACGAAATATTTTGATCCGAGTGTTAAACTGGGTGAGGATGAGTTCATGAAATTTTTGCACAATAGCTGGTACTTCATCCCTGGATTTCATGAGATAAATCCAAGTGTAACGAGATTAGTCATCAATAAAAAGGATAAAGTACCTGTAACCCCCCATAGTTGGCAAATGATATGGCCCCCACACATCAGAGTGAACAATATGAACAGGAGAAAGAGATCTTTTATTGCTTACTGAATAAGAATGCCTACAATGCTTTGTCAGTTCACACGCCTCGCAATGAAGACTCGGTAAAGACACTCCCTTAAACATATCTGGAAACAAATGACTCCAACCAGAAAAAGACAAATGACCAAACTGAAAATGACATAACAAGACTTTGTCAATAGATTCTGACAAGACTGACTCTAAGGCAACTCCATGAGGTGGTCCAAAAGCTCTATCCGGTGTGTCCAGCAAGTATATTCCGTTCGCCTCGTGGCCATTCCCAATCATCCTCTAAGATTGCAGGTCCTGAAAAACACAATGAGTGGGAAAAAATGTTATGCTACAATTCATGGATTTAGATAAGCTACTAACAGATAAAAGGTTTGTATTAAGTTTAGGGACATGAAGGACAAAGGATAAATAAAGGGTGTCAGAGGTCTTTATATCCCCTTTACTAGAAATGGGAGCAAGAGACCCATCAGCAAGGGATATTTTCTCTTTACCAGAGAGAAGGTGGTATGAGCAGAAGAGATTAGACAAGCTGGTCATATGGTCTGATGCACTGGAATCAATAATCCAAGGGATTTTATGATTACCTAAAACCGAAGCATGATTTGTAGAAGCACGAATACCTGAGTACTGTAGCAACATTACTTGTCTTAGGCTTTCCTGCCTGATTGCCCTTCTTAGAACTGTTGTTATTCTTAAACTTGTCAGGTAGAAGCTCAGGATGAAGCTTCCAGCAAGTGTCCTTTGTATGCCTCGGTTTCTTGCAATATTCACATATCTGCTCCTTTTTCTCAGTAGGACCCTTTGGCTTTATTCCAACATGTGCAAAGTGTTCTGTAGGTGGACTCTGTAACTGAACCTATTGCTTACTCTCCTCATTGCTTATTATAGCGTATGCCTGGGAAAGAGTAACCTCATCTTTGGCCAGGATATTTTGCCTAATGATGTTAGACTCAAGGTTGAGTCCAGTAAGAAATTCAAACACCCTATTTCTCTCTACCAACTTCCTATACATTTCAGCATCATTCTTACTCTCCCATACAATTGTCTCCATAACATCAATTTCTTGCCATAGGGATTTCATTATAGAATAGTAGATTGCTACACTCTTCTCCCCCTATCTTAGGTTCTTCACGTCACTTTTCAACTTGTAGACTCTGGCTACATTCAACTTTTGTGAATAGGTCTTAGTAACACTGTCCCATATCTCCTTAGCCGAAGACATCCAGAGATAATGCTAACTTATATGAGGTTGCATAGAGTTGACCAACCATCCAATGACTGTATAGTTCTCCTGCATCCATTTCTCAAATTCAGGGTCCGTCTCTTCGGGTTTCACTTTACTACCTGTGAAGCAAGATAATTTGTCCCATCTAGCTTGATTGTGGTCACACTAGTCAAAACAGAATCTACCGAGCTGAGGCCGGAAACCGGCACTTGCTTGAACTCACTTCCGTATGGCTCCATTAATCAAACGAAAATCAAAGAACCAGAAATTTGGTTTATATAAACTTACTTGAAGTCAAACCAGAACCCAGATGCTTGAAAACTAGGGTTTTACTCCGTCCAGTTGTTGGGGAGGAAGAGAGAAGATGCAGCCGCTCCTACCAGAGCTTCCCAATCTCTTCTAAACCTGAACCACCCTCCTTTAGGAGTCAAAAGACACCTCCCAAGCACAGAGCGCCACTCCCAAAGCTTCACCTTTACCTGTACCTTCGAAAATCTCTAGTTAGCTAGGGTTTTGGGCAGCAACAGAACAACACCACTTCTTGGCAATATCCAGCCAGGTTTAAACTCTCCAAACCCTCTACCAACTAGGCCAAAGATCCTTTGAACTATAGAGAACCTATCTCTCCATTCACTCTCTTAATCGAAGGGTGTATGGGAAAAGAGGAAGAAGAAAAGAAGGAAGAAAGAAACCTGCTTTGATACCAAGATGTAAACCAGTCCTCAAAAATAGGTGTAAACTTGAAAAATTAGAGAGAAAAAGGAGGAAGAAAAGTAAGAGCAACAGTACAAGAGAAGAAGATGGAGAAAAGAGGAGGAAGAAGAAAAAATGTTCGAATAATCCTTCCTTCTCTTCTCTAATCCTTTTTACTAAAAATTAATGTTAAAATAATTACAAGTATGCCCTTAAGTGGGTGGCCAGCTAGGCAGTAACATAAAGAGATCAAACAAAAAGAAATAACAAGCCCATTAAGAGAGGCCCATTAGCTAACAGGAAAATAGAAAAAATATTACAAGAGAAGATACTAGGACCCATTCGGCCCAGTCTCTTTACATGTTTGATCCCTCCACAGCCCAACAGTATGGGAATATTGTTAGACAAAAGGTCTATGAGGTTGAGTTCGAGACAATCTTAATTGGATTCTAGGTCTGGTATGAGTTGGGACTGCCCCACACTAAACCTAACCCACTAGTGACATTGAAAAAATGTAGATATAGCCTTGGCTAAGAATAGGGGTTCATGGGACATGGTTGGGTCGGGTTCAACAATCCTGTTCCATTTAGCTGATTGATCCAAACCCACCCCATTAACATCCCTAATGTTGTAACTAAGAACCTATCCAATTTGAGTAGGATTGAGATCCTACACCCTCCCCTTTTTCATGATTAAAATGTATTGTGTTGAAATTCTCCCTATACATGGAAGATACCATCACAGTTTGACTTTATCCAACTCATTCCAAAAGATCTATTAATCTGTTGGGTCATATGTGGCTGTGAAAGCACACACACACACACACACAAGAATAAAAAAAAGCACCTTATAGGACTTATAGAACAACGGATACTGAAAACTACCCACCATTTGATCCTTCAGCATGATTTTCTTGAATCTCATATGATTATTACCCCATGCAATGTTTCTTAACAGCAAGAAATACCAACCACAAGGGATAGGGGCCCCAATACTGCAAATGATAGATGAATCAAAAGATTATAATTTTTTTTTGATACATAATAGCTTATAACTTTGTTTCTTATAGAATATCTAACTTCCATTTTATACAAAAAGAGCAGCATAGTACTCTTCTTCTTCTTCCAGCACAATATGATTTTTAGGCTAAAAGAAGGCCATTACCCAATGTTAGTTACAGATATCTCATCTGGGGTTTAGGGAGGGGTGGACTGGACCGGATACATGCCTAACCTTTGGCATTTTTTGTGCAAAGTGTCTCCACTCAGACTTGAACCCACAATCTCATGCTTGTCAGCCCAAGATTTCAGGCTAGGAATGGTAAACTAATTTATTGTTTCTACCTCTGACACTTAGTTTTCACCAGTGTCTTCTATCTCTGTGAATGTGCCAACCACCGACCTTTGGGGAATTTTCTTTTACTGGATTGTCCCTGAATACTTGTGCTCCTGAAATACTTGTTCTACTTCTTCATTGTTGGAAGAGAGCATCTATTCTGGAGTCTCATCCATTGCCACTTTTTTTGCTTGTCTCCCTCTGGAAGATGAGAATTTCTATTCGTTAGGTCAAACATAATAACCTCATGGATAACTATTGAACCATTCCCTGGTTTGTTTGGTTTGAAACTTTGGTTCCCATCCTTAGTCCACATCCTTTAAGTTGACATGGATTCTGGTTCAACCCGGTCCTTGGTGGCTTTACATGTAGGATGCCCAATAATTTAGACTATTATCCTGGTTGAGTTTCCGTACACTTGACCTTCCTGTCTCCTGCTTAACAGAGTTATGCTTTGGTTATTTTTCCCTTTATAAGCCCTGATTTGTCTTCAATGCACATTGTAGTGCTTGGATATTCTTCTATCTTATAGAATATGTGGTGTTGTATTTTAATCCAGTTATTCCTCTATTTCGTATATTATATTATTTTCTCATTGATCTACTTGTTTCTGTTATCAAGTCTTTATGTTTCTTAAATATCATAGTGCATTCCTATTTCCCTCTATATTCTTAATTCTTAAGCACTAATTTCTTTCCATCCTCTTTTGCTAGGTAGATTTAAGCTAAATCTCAAAACAAGCAGGCCTAGAGGTGTAATGTGGGCCATGCTTTACAGGATGCCTGTACTGTAGCGGGCCTGGGTGGGCTGTGCATGCTTGGCCTGGGACCCCTCGAAAGGGAGGCCAGGTCCATGGGTGGCACGCTTTTTTAGAAAAATTGAAAAAAATAATGAGAAAGTTAAAATAAATTAACAAGATAGACAAGAAATTGAAATATATATATATATATATATATATGTGGGCTGCTGTGCTGGGCTGCGAGTCATGCCAGCATGGCCCACTTTATCGTGTTGTGCCATGCTGGCTGCGGTATGACCTGGTTGCTAAAGTGACCGAGCCACGGGCGGCACGGCCCACTTTACAGCTCTACGCAGGTCAAGGGCCCTGTGGTCTCTTTCTAGCTTGGTATGGATCCATTTATCTACTGCTTCAGAATTGGAATGATATGGTTGTAGCCTCATATATGACACAAAGAATCCTTTGAACATAACCAGAGAAGAAATGAAGACAAGTTGAACATATGTGTAAAGATGTAAAGAGAGTTAAGATTAAAGCCTCGTATACGAGAGAAAGGATCCTTTTGAAAACAGAAGCGGGAAAACACTATCAAAAAACCAGAAGGAAAGCCTAGTTTTCTCTTTGGTAAATACTCTTGGAGTTGTTACAATTACATACCAAGAATACATGGGAAAGTAATAGCAATATGAATGGAAAGAAACCCGTGACAATTAAACTAACAGAGAGTTTTAACTTCTAATTTATCAGTTACCCAAAACTCAACTTCAAGTTGAGAAATCTAACTTCTAATCCATTTATCAGGGGGAAACATGTATCTTCTGTTCTTCTCTCTTTTGGGTCCTAAAGTTAGGATCTGGAAACTACCATTATAGGAAGCTTCAGTTTCTATACATTTCTAGTGTTCAGATTTTATTAGAAACAGATGGTTTACACATATGTTGAGTACTGAAAATAATATTTGGATTTCACTGGGTGAAAGAAATAAGACTGTAAGTATGTTTTTAAGCACTTTGCTAGAGCCCCAAGATCTAGACAATAGATTTTCTTAACAATGAAAAAATTAGTATAACCTTTTATTTCAATTTCTTTTTCTCTTTTTTTGGAGGGGGATGGGGGAGAGGACATATAATGCCTTAAACGGTTCTGCAATGACCATAACTCATTTAGTTATGTCCTTTTATATAGTTTTATATTGCAATTCCCCCTTTATGTAATGATTTTACCACATTCAAAAAATAATACAAAAACTTATAAAGTGCTACTTCCATAATTTCAATTTAAGGGATTTTAACTCAAAGGCCT